TTTAAGGTGAGGTAAACCCCCAAAGCCTTTCCCCTTTCTTCAGTTGCCAGTTTTTCCTTTAATCTATAAAAATAAAAGGAAAGTATGACTAAACTTAAGTGCCTCATTGGCTGCCTGTACCCAGTGGTCTCACACTCAGAAGTTTTCTTGGTACACAGATACTTAGATGTGGTTCTGAGACCAGGAGATCTTCCTTTTATTAGGAAGGAATAGCAACTGTGTCTTGACATTATTTCACAATACTGCCTCATGGGGGAAGTATTGTGCAATGCTCGACCTCAGGGGCTGGGAGTCAATCACTGACCTAGATCTTTCTGGTTCTAGGATTTTTAAAAATTATTTTGATTTTATGTGTATGTGTGTATTGCCTGCATGTATGCAAATGCACCTGTGTTGTACAATGCCCATGATTGCCAGAAGAGGGCATCGAATTCCCTGAAACTGGAGTTTCAGACAGTTGTTAGCTGCCATGTGGGTACTGGGATTCGAACCCGCGTCTTCTGCAAGAGTAGTCAGTGTTTTTAACTTGTGAGCCATCTCTCCAGTCGGAGGTTCTAGGATGACCCAGGGCAAGTCACTCAAAATAAGACGGAAGTACTTCATTTTGGGGAAAAATAGGTAATGAGAGATTGAATATAAAGCACATAACAGTTTAGGAAAAGACAGAGAAACTTATTTTTTGAGAAATTAGAGAGTAGTGACTGACAATTTCAGCCCAGCTGGTACCAGCATCTCTTGGGAACAATCTTTCACTAAAATTATTGATCACTGAAGTTTATTCTCAACATTTAGAAGCTCAAGTTGCCTATAAGATATAAAAAGATACTTTTGGCTGCTCAATTCTCAAAAACATTTGTGTATTACATATTATAGTCTTGATGGGTGTAACGATTTGAATGTGAAATAACCCCTACAGACAGGCATCTGAACAATTGGTCTCCAGTAGGTGGTACTGTTTTGAAGGCAGTTGAAACCTTTGGGATTGGGTTCTAGGTGGAGGAAGCCGGTTACCTGGGCCTGGCCTTTGAATCTTATCCCCTATCTGCTTCTCCTGGTATGGTCCATATGAGCACACAGTAGCCTCATGCTCATTGTGACAGACACTCTCTAGCCTCCATGCTCTCACCACCATCATGACGGTTCCTTCTAAAACTCTGAGTGAAAAACTCTCTCTCTTATTTGGGTCAGATATTTTGTGACAGTGATAGTAAAATTAAGTAATATGTTGGGTTTCTCCAGAGCATAAATATCAAATCCAGAACCCTCTTTTACTATCTGTTTCATCAAAACATAACAAAGCAAAATAAAATCATTTGCAATGGTTTACACCCTAAAAATTACCTAACTACACATTGATCCAAGCCTTTTCTTGTTTCTATATTTATTCCATAGGTTTAATAAGCTGGAGTGAAATAATCTGTCTCAATACCACTTCTGTGTTCTACCTACTGCTTTGACATTATTAAATGTGTAACACAGAAGTGATTAGAGATCCAATAAGAGAACAAGTTGTATTAGTGTGATAGTTAAACTTTTATATCACCTAATTACTGACGTATATGCCAGTCATCAGACACCCTGAATGTGCTAATTTCTTTTTCAGAAAATTGATTCACACATGTAATATGAGACATCAGTAAAATAGCACACTGTACTAACATTAATTTTTAGTCAAATTAAATATGTCATAAATATATTTTACTTACTATTCTACCCCTTGGAATGAAACTATCAAGTCAATTTTATATTTCAAATGTAACCTGAGATCATCTATAGAGGGGAACGCTGGGAAGCATGTCAAGACTTATTGTACCGCTTACTGAGCAGCTGCCCTTCTTGACAGTGGTGTGCTAGCCGACACTGCTCATCTTCTCTTGGCTTCTCAACAGCTGGTTTTTCATAGCTGAGGAAGCAGAGGGCAAGTAACTTACCACAGTCAACCACTTACCAATGGCTAGGCTAGGATTGGCTGCATTTGTCTTTGTATCAAGGTTGCAGTTAGCATGGCATGCTTAAATATGTCAACATTACTATTCAAGAAAGAAGTCAATATGTCATTTTCATCCACTGACAGTTGATGCAGAATTTGGGAAAGTCCAGTTGATGAGGGAATGCCTCTCATTCACGATTAGGGAGATCATTAGGAAGAAAAATGTTTGGAAAATATCCGTATCTTCCTACACTCAAATGGAAGTACCCTTTGCATCAGCAGTTCCATTTCATCAAATGATTAGTCTCAAGATATAGATGTTAATTACTAACTGCAAGGTTTTGAGACAGAAAAGCATCTCCAGGAAAAAGTATTTCTCTCTAAGACTTTTCCTTAAATGTTGTCATATACTGGTACATGGAATATGATGTAATCACTACAAGAGGTACTGAAATGGACACCAAAATATATTCATGTGATGAGTAGGTTATAGAGCATTATTGACCACATAGTTCATTTTTGGTAAATCTATGCATCCCCATTTGCATCCATCTTCTGAGAAAGCTTCTGGAATTATGCATCCTAACCAGGAGTCCATGCTGGTAGAGAAGGGAAGGAGGAAGGTGGATTTGAATTGTGTTCCCATGTGTGCCATTTTTTCAAAAAATATTTTTATATTTTTATTTTATGTGTATGAGTGTTATGCCTGCAAGTAGGTAAGTGCACCCGTGTCATGCAATGCCCATGGAAGACAGAAGAGGCTGTTGGATCTCCTGGAATTGGAGTTACAGACAGTGTTTAGCTGCCATGTGGGTGCTGGGATTCAAACCTGGGTCTTCTGCAAGAACAGCCAGTGTTCTTAACCATTGAACCATCTCTCCAGCCCCCGAGCACCATTTTTTATAATGCTAGACGATTCAGAGTCATATAATATAAAAGACTGTATAAGGATTTCTATTTTTAAAAGCAGAGCTTAAGAATGTATGATGATTAGAATTTTTATTGCCTTTGTAAGTCTATCAATTAGGATGTTAAACAAAAGTTACATATTAAAAACAGCATATGTAACAAGTAAAACATCTGTATTTTTTATGGAAAATTTATTGACTGGAAAATTAACTTTAAAATCTCAGTGCCTTTAACACCTCCATAATCTCTGAGTAGGTTAAAAAGAAAAGAAAAAAGAAAAAAAATACAGATATGACATATCCCAAGCTGTACCACCACTTTGCGACTTCATTTTATTTTTCTAAGGAGTCAGAGGGTTGGAGAGATGGCTCAGCAGTTAAGTGCTCTTACTGGTCTTCCAGAGGGCCTGAGTTCAGTTCCTAATACCTACATTGGGGAAGATCACAACCACCTGTAACTCCAGCCCCAAAGGGTCCAATGCTCTCTTCTGGCCTCCGTGGGCACCCAAACACATGATATACACACATAACACACACAGACACAGACATATGACAGACAGACAGACAGACAGACAGATGAAAATAAAATCTTCAAAAAAGAAGTCAAGAGGCAAAGTGTGAGGGAAAAGTTGGCTGTAACATTTGTGGGAATCAGAGCAGGTACTAAGTACACTGATCTGGCTTCAACAGGAAGTCGAAAGGTAATTATGTCCACAGCAGATATTCTTTTCAATTCTGTGAAAATCCATATCCTCAGCAGACTCAGTGAATGCAAATAATTCTAGTTCATTTCATTTTTCTCTTCTTTCCTTCTGTTTTCTCCTCTCTGGTCTCACCTCTCCCTCTCACCATTCCCCTGCACAGTCGCTCCTTCTCTCCCTTTTAAGCAAAGGAAATCGCCAGGCTGTTGTCAGTTTTATTGATGAGGTTTCACTTTCTAATTATTCTTTTAAAATATTTTATTTATTATTTTTATTTTATGTGTATGAGTGTTTTGCCCACATGTATATCATGCAATGCCCATGGAGGTCAGAAGAGGGCATCGGATCCCCTGAAACTGGAGATATGGATGGTAGTTAGCCACCATGTGGGTGTTGGGAATTGAACCTGGGTCCTCTGCAAGAGCAGCCACTGTTCTTAACTACTGAGCCATCTCTCCAGCCCCCACTTTCAAATTCTTAACAACTCTCTGTAAAATGAAATACTAATTTCATCAAATTGTCAGCATATTGTGCATAATAATTCTGTTTTAAAAACCTTGGAGGTTTTATAAGTGAAACATGAGTCCATATACTCTTAGCAGAGAATACTAAGAGGCATGCTCTAGAGTCCTGGAATACTAACCCTGAGCTCAAGATTCATAATTCATAAAAAATTGTGATGTTTATCAAGTTCAAAGGGAACCACTATTTGCTAGGTAAAGACATTTATAAAGAATTTTCTACAAATAGCCTTTCAGTTAGATTTACTACTATCAGGGATTTAAGTACTAAAAAACATAGCATTGAAACCACACTGTGATATCATTTTGAACATTTATCCCTGCTATCTTTATTAAATGTACACCATCCTCACTGATGGAAAGAAGTGTGTTGCTTTACTTGGATTTGGTGATACTGACTACAAAGTCCGGAGAGATAAGCACTCAATAAATGCTACAGGAAGCAGATGAGTGATCAAGAGAGTACTTAGGTAAAATAAGCCTTTTGAGTTACACAACTCGACAATCAAGAATACAAAGGAAGTTGGAATGCTTCAACAAATATGAATTCTGAGAATATGTTAAATCATATTCAATATTAGTATTATTTTTAAAGTTTACTTTTCCATGTAAATATTTTTAAAGATGAAATAGAAACCAATCCATAATTATAGAGGATTAGTGCATTTGGGAAATTCCACTTTAAAAGACACCCAGCCTAATATTTTCTTGACTTTTTAAACCAATGACAAACTACTAATAAAGACATTCATTTATAATAAGTTAACTTTATTTAGTCTTCATTCTTCTCAGAAGAAAACTAATCCTCTAAGTATGACAGCCTTGCAATCAGTCTTTGATAGAGGAATATACATTTTGCCTTTGAAGTCAAAGTAGAATCCGGATTATTTATATAGAATTATTTTCCAAAGATGATGTCCAGTATTTCAGTTCTGAGTGGTCAAAAACCTAGGTAAAATATTTCCAATGCTGTGAATAGATAGAACAAAGAGAGACCCACTGAAGTCTTTCCTGGGAACAGATGGAGACACTGTGGCAGATGATGTGATAACTGACTGACTTCTATTATTAAAATGAGGCTTTTCCCAGTTGACAGGTAGAACACCGGGTTCAGTTTCTGCAATTACAAAGGAATTTATGCAAACGTCTTCAACAGCACACACACTAACTGATCTCACCTTTTCCATTTCAAGTCTCTCCCTACAATTCAAGTTGGCGTAACAGCTACAACGAAAGTTTTTGGAAAAGTAATCCAGATCATAGAAGGTGGGATTACCACTTATTTCATACTTCCCAGTTTTCACAAATTGAATCTCAAAATTCCTTGAATTCAAGTGAAGATATTCATCTGAATTCCACTCTTTCCTTGAACACATGCCTTGATCTTGGCAAAGTGTTTGGCTACACATTTTGGCTGCTAGGGTGACGTTGATGATGTAAGGATTCAGAGTATTTTCCAAGTAATCATGTAGCTCCAGGCAATTTTTCTGTAAAGTTATAACATAGTCAGAATATCAGAGTATAAATTCTGATGTGAATTAGTATACTGCAAAAAGCAACTCTTAAAAACAGACCAGACACACCAAAAGTTAGGCATATTCTTTTTTCACTTTAACATGCAAGATAATTTAACCAGCTTTTTGTCACATTTTTAAGTGTCATATGCCATTTTATAGCACTGAATAATTGCTTAGTTGAGGCTTAACTTATCCTAGCTTTGATCTTCCTTAACAATTCTTAAATTCATCAATGGGATAGAATATTACAACTTTATAATGTGGGCTTTGAAGTTTACTTACTCCAATCAGGATTGGAGACCCGACTTCATTAATGACCATCTGTGCAAATCTGAGATATCTCAAGCTTTCTAGGTTTTAGTTTCCTATTGGGATAACCCCAGGTCAAATTAATTATTTTAGTTATGCTCCAGTTTTATCATTTATAAGGATGATTTTAGAGCTTGCCACATAGGACTGGTGTGAAGATAAAAAGATAAGTGCTGAATTTGGGGCTCACAGCCTCTTCAATCATCCCTCAATGAATAACAAACAAATGTCAGACAAGTTCATACAGCATCAAAAAGACTTCCCAAACTGATTGCTTAAAATAACTAAATAGATTCAACTGTATGTTTTTAAATTAAATGTTACACCATCAAATTTTGTATGCATGATAGTCCTTTGACAAATTTTATAAATGAAGTATGAGCAGCTGAAATGATTCATTTTAACACTGGTATTGAGGCAGATGGGAGGTAGAAATAGGTTAGGCTGCTTTGGGCAGGGACACCAAAATCAGAATTTTCAAGAATGTTTTTCCGGAAGAAGAGTTTCTGTTCTTAGTTCCTTGTTATGAACAAACACTCTACTTGGAAACTAGAGGTGAGGGTGTTACTGAAACTCTGGTCATGATGCTAATCCATTATGGTGAACAATTTTGGAACTAGATCTCTGGATTTTCATAGCATTAACAGGTTATATCAATTCCAAATGTCAGTCCTTCTTCTAAATGATTTTTAGCATCCCTAACCTTGACGGAGGAGTGTTACAGGAGCCTTCAAGGCCGTGAAGATGTACCACTCCATAGTGGAATCTACCTCTGGTCTTGAGTGGAGAAAAGGACATTCTGATCTTCTCCAAAGGTTAGATTACATATTGTTGTCTTTTTCCTTAGGAGTTAATACAGCTGGGTCTATCAATCCCCTGGCCAAGAGTCCATAACTCAGGAAGGCTGTCATACTAACAAGATGGGAGGAATAACTATCCTTTGAGACACTGTAGTTTTTCCTTCTCAGAAATTTCTGCTTTGGTGCAACAGATTGCAGAACTTCTGTGAGGTAGCATTGCATGCCTGTTTACTTTTCTCAGTTTTAACTCAAGAAAGCATAACATTTTATTTTCCTTTTTACTATCTTATTCTTAAGTATGCTTTCCTTATCACTTTGGGCTTCCTCACTCTTCTTCTAAAGCACCCCCACAACCCTATTTTTTATTATTTTTATTTTATATGTATCCATGTATTGTCTGCATGTAGGTAAGTGCACTTGTATCCTGCAATGCCCGCAGAGGACAGAAGAGGCTGTCAGATCCCCTAGAACTAGAGTTACAGACAGTTGTTAGCAGCCATGTGGGTGCTCAGATTCGAACCCCGGTCTTCTGCAAGAACAGCCAGTGTTCTTAACCACTAAGCCATCTCTCCAGCCCCAACAACCCTATATTTTACCATGTGGCTGCTTGTCTGCCAATGTGGCTGCCTAAAACTAAGCATGTCTTTCACTCTAAGATTTACAGATTGCTTTGGCCTATTTTTGGTTGTTTCTTATAGTCTAATAAAATTGTCCTGAAGCTTTCTTCTGAGACTGTTTTAAAATTATTTTATTAATGAGATCAAGAATCCAAAAAGGGAATCCCAATTTTCCTGATTGTCATGGTACAGTGGCCACAGTCCAAGCCTGAAGGGCTTGGGGACCCCAACAGATAGAAATCAAGACACAGCAGATGCAGAGGTCTATATGCCAGTGCATGTTTATTGTGAACCAAGCTATATAATCAGATCTGGAGTAACCAAGGAATAACCAAGGATACATCACTAAACAGAAAGTAACCAAGGAATAATCAAGGATACATAAGAATACATTACTTCACCAACCGAAACTCACCCAATGTTTACAGAATCCAAGATTCAGCTGCATAATATCTTAGATATAAGGTATACTGTTTGTGATTACTCTTAGCAACTACTAGAATTCATTATTTCTATATAGACCAAGCTAAGGGTGCTGAGAAACTCTGGTGCCTATAAACTGACAGAGAACTCTTTGGTTATGTTTCCAGGACTGCCAATTAATCAGGGAAGCATAGCCTGTCAACTCTGACCACAGAAGCAGAGAGCAGAGAAACTCCCAAAGTGGAAGCATTCTTTCTCCAATGCTTAAGTCAAGGCAAGCTGCCACAGCCTAATGCAGCAATGGCTGTGCCCATAATAGTAATAGCTCCCAACATTTCCCCCTTTCTTATTTAATATAACCACAGAATATGCCACATCCAGGATGGAAGGACTGTGCCTGTCTTAGGTTGCCTTCTGCAAGAGCAAAGCCTTACCTGTCATCGGCACGCAGCTTCAAGCAGCTACGCCCTGTCTTAGGTTGACTTTCTCCCAGAAGATCTTACCCGTCATTGACTACCGGTCATGGGGGAGGGAGCACACACAGTAGCCTAGACAAGCCACAAGAATATAACATATCTAGTGTCCTCTGCCAAGCTTCAGGTCAAACTGAATTGATCAGACCTAAACACCTGATAGCACATGGCACCCAAATTGGGGATCTCCAGAGTTTCTAGTAAGAGAATATTCTTAAATGTGGACAATGCCTTTTAAAACAGATTGAATACAATAATGCTCATTAATGATCAATAGTTCCAGGGAGGGAGCTTACTGTGTTAGCCCTTAGCCAGATCAAATGAAATAGTGGTGGTATGTTAGCAAGAAAGGAAAGGAATCCAGGAAGCTCTGACTTGAGTCTACATTGTGCTACTTTCCTTATAGAGATAGATTCTGTTGTTGGCATAATAATGACAGAGATAACTGCCCTCCCATCCCTGGAATCCATGGTTTACAATGGAAGAGACTATAGATCAATTGAGAACATACATTTTCAGAAAGGGAGATTACCTCAGGTCATCTGATAGGGTTTGAATGAATTATATAAAGCCTCGAAAGCATGAAAACTTTTCCAGCTATTAAAGTAAAAGGGAAGTAAGAGTCAAAGTTCAAGAGGTATTTGCACTACCGTTGCAGATAGGTGTGCTGGTACAGTTCTCTAATCCAAAGACTTGGAAAGAAGAACCAAGAGGATCAAGGTTTGACATCATCGTCAGCTACACAGTGAGTTAGAGACTGCTGTGTACAGCCTACAGGAGATCCTGTCTTACAAAAATCAAAATAAACCACAACTGTACAACTGTTCATTTCAAAGAAAGAAGCAGAGGGCTAGGAGCTGAAGAAGGCTAGAAGATAGAAGCTGGAAAATAGAAATGGCCTTTAGTCAACAGCCACTCAGACAGAGACGTTATTGTTAAAACAAGGAACTGAATCTGCCAGCAACCCAAATGAGCAGTGAATGATCTCACCATAAAATAAACCCAGCAGGTGGACAAGTGAATGTGGCCCCTCGAGACCTGTGATGGACTTTGGATACAGAAGTATAAAATAATAATTTCTGTTACTTAAACTACTGTTTGTTGTAACTTTGAAGGAAGTAATATGAAACAAGTCAATCACTGTCTTCCTAGCTCTCCAACAGGTTTACATGATTTTAGAATAAAACTCAGCCTTTTCTCTTGGCTTGCATACATTCTGACCTGGTGCACCCATCCCATATCCATGCATCTTGTTCACAGGAGTTGTTTCAGTAGTATGGTGGGTTCATTTTACAAGGCACTACTGTTCCCTTTGTTTGGAATGCTTTTCTTGAATTTTTTTTTTTTTTTTTCGGTCTTTTTGAGACAAGGTCTCCCTGTAGCCCCAGCCGTCCTGGAACTTACTATGTGAGTTCAGGCTGGCCTTGAACTCACAGAGATCTGCCTGCTTCTGCCTCCCAAGTGCTGGGATTAAAGGTGTGTGCCAACATGCCCGGACTTTTTCTTGAATTTTTTAACATGATTGATTCCTTTACCTTACTGTTCAGATAGTTCTTTGGGACAGAAACCTTCTTAAATACTTTCCTTGAGGACTAACATGTCTATATTAACGGCCTTAAAGCACTTTCTTGCCGTATCAACTATTTTATTGTTTTCTCTAAATACTTTTCAGTTTCAAGTGTGCACGAATTCTGTTTTCAATGCTGTATTCTCAGTACCAAGGATATATGAGAATTTACACCAAGTTCACACGACTTTTGTACACACAAAGGTTAGGCAAAACGCAGACTACAGAAATGAGATGACTTGAGAATCATCTTACAATGTAGTGTATGGAAATATTTAAACTGGCTAAATAAGAGATATAGTATGAATATTCATACAGTGGTCAACCACAAGTTACCAATCCAATGGCACTGAATGAGAGCTGAGAACTGAGGATACCACCATTGCCCAGTATTGGAGTGTAATGTGGGCACCAACCATTGTAGAGACTACCCACCCATACAGACACAGCAGACATGCACAAACTCAAGCACAGAACGTGAACATGGAGTGAAACGGCTGCTACATTTTGAGCATTGATTATCTTTGTTTTTAGTAGCTAATTTTGTTATGTATTTCTATAATTTAATTTTTAATAATGGCTGGATTTAACAATGAGTTCACAAAATTTCTGCATATTAAATAATCAAGTCTCTTAAGGTAAGACTGATAGAGCTTGCTTCATCACACCCCTGGATCTTGTAAATTATAGGTAAAGGAAATGGCTGGTTGATATTTGTTTTGGTTCAGTTCTAGCAGCTACGCCAAACCAACAAAACACAAAAAAATCTGCAATCACAAGTTTCTCAAGGTCACAGTGAATCAAGGGGAGTGATCCACAAGCTTATTCATTATCAAAGACATAAAGGGGGGAAGGAAACAATAGTAATACTAAAACTGATCACGAATTGGGAAAAGCAGTAGAATTGTATAGGAAGTCTATACGGGACAATCCCAGGACAGACAGTGCCGTAAATAGGAAATAGTGATATCAAAGTTGAAGGGATATGTGTGGATAAAACATACTGAAGATGATTTGGGAGACACTGGAAAACAATGAGCATCTCAGATTAAAATAACGTCAAAAGCAAATATGGTGGTATATAGTATGAAACCACCTCAACCTACTCATTGTGGATGAAGTTACCAGTTCTCATTTTGCTGGGTTTTTTTTTTTGTGTGTGTGTGTGTGTGTGTGTGTGTCTGTGTGTGTCTGTCTGTGTGTGTGTGAATGCATGCATATGTGTGAGATGTGGGGAGGGGCACAGGCACATACATGCCAGAGCACATGTGTGGCAGAGGACAATGTTCAGCAGTCAGCTCTCTCCTTCCACTTTGAATTCTAGGGTGGCAGGAGCTTTTACACACTGAGCCATCTTTCCAGGCCCAGATTTTGTGCTTTTGTTTTGTTTTGAGACAAGATCTCTCCGTAGCCCCAGCTGGTTGGGTTAGAGCTTGCTAAATTGACCATGCTGGCTTTACTGTCACAGAGCCCCCCTTGCCTCTGCCTCCACAGTACTGGGATTAAAGGCATATATCACCATGGCTGGCAGTTCTTTCATTTTTTTAAGGAGTTATGCAGAATTTATCCTATGGTTCCATCAGAGAATTAAACATATCCTTGATAAAGGAGTTTACAGTTTTAGGAAAAACAAATAGTAAAATTTGGTAATATATCTAGGAACATTCCAACTTCAAGATAATTTTCTGAGATACAAATTTACCAAGAAACATAACTTTACCTGAACTTATGTTTTCTGTTGTTTCCTTTTTATTCAAAATGAAGTTAAAGGCAATATAAATGTACAAAGTGTGGGAAGCTGAGGCTTCCTTGACAGAGCATCTCACAAGTGTATCTCTACTGAACATTCTGAAATGAAATGGGACTACTGATATTCCATCTAAAGTGACAGATCTGATACTCTCAAGAGGCCTCTCCTGGTCTTAGGATATAAACTTTATTCTCTGAAGATACTAGGACAGAATACTTTTCCAGATCAGGAACTTCATCTGACTGTCTTAGTGGCCCCACATCCAACAAAGAAGTAAAGCTTTCCCCTCCAATTTAGAAGTATACATTTTTACTCTCCTTTGAAGTCAGAGGATTAAAGACATGGGGGATGAAGACCTGCTATGGAGAATTAAGCAATTGACATAGAGACCTGTTGCCTGACACCAAATATCATGACACTGAAATGAAATGATCTTGATTTTGCTTCTTATAAACCATATTACCTAGAGAATTTCCATTAGTCTCACTGATACTGGATTCCTCACTAGAAAGCAGGTATAAGACTTCCTACCTCACAACAAAAAATGAGAGATATCTTGACTCAACAAATATTTAGTATGTGCCAAGCATTATGCTTATCTTCTTATTTAACACCAAAACAACCCTCAAAAGCATAAACAATAGAAATATTTTCATCTATTTCCTATCAATTCACTTACCATACCTCGTGCTAAACCAAGAGTTCCCCATATTACGATTCCAGAGGCACCCAGAGCAACAGTTTCACCAATTGTATTCACAAGGTCATCCTGGAAAATGTGATAGATTTAGTTCATAGGAGCAAAGTGAAAGTGTTCACACAGGATAATAACACCAAAGCTAAGCATGTTGATCCAGCAATAATAAATATTTCTACACTTTTAATATCTTTTACCCAAGCATTTCCTTATTACTTAGAAACAGAGACTATTATTGCTTTAATATCAGATCCATTAAGGAAGAAATAAGAAACAGATTTAATGTGTTATCTACACTGTATATAATTCTCCATGGTTTCTAGCAGGTCATATGATTACATTAAAGATTAAAAATGTTGAGATGGGGAGATGGATCTGTTGGTAAAGTGGTTGAAATGTAAGCATGAAGATCTGAGACCTATCCCCAGAATTTATGCCTTTGTATCTTGGGGACAAACCACCAGCTGCCCAATTGGACCTAAAACCTGCTCACTAGTAGGAACTTGTGCCCAGTACTGAAAACCTAGCCAAGAACCCATGACTGGAGAAGTCATCAGCCCTAGAAGAGAACCTACTTCTACCATTTTACCAAAGTCATGCAGTTTCCAACTACCCTCTATGCACGCATCATATACTCATAGGAAATGCAGCTCTCAGACTTCATCAAAGAAGTTTTCTCTTTTTTTTTCCAGCAGACAGGCTACTATAGAGGGCCACAACTGGTCAAAGTGGAGAGAATAAATGATCATGGGGTGCCTAGTCCCAATGGGACATCTGCAACACGACCCCTACATCTAAGACCCAGAGAGCATTCCAAAGAGATAGAAAGATTGTAAGAGCATGAAGATGGACAACTGCTGGGTGAGAGTTTCTTCTGATCAGGGCAGGGATGTTGCTCCCATGGACTCTCACCTGAACGCTGCCTGCACATGACCTAAAAAAATCATAAGTCCACATGCTAACATGAATGGAGGACAATTTCATAGTCCCCACCCCTAGAAGAGCTACAAGCAGTCAATGGCTGCTGAATGAGGGAGAACCAGATTTGTTGTTCTGTTCATCTTTTTCAGGAATGAGACTCCAATCCTAAGTGGTCAACCCTTAAATGCATGCAGAAAAGAGCAACACTAACTGAAATCAAGAGTGTGTGTGTGTGTGTGTGTGTGTGTGTGCGCGTGTGTGAAATCAAAAATGAATGTAGTAGAACAGGTCATGAATTTGAGAGAGGGCAGTTGTGGGGAAGACACAGGAAGATTTGAAGGTGAGAAAAGAGGGGTAGAAATCGTGCCATGTACTCATGTATAAGTCCAATTTTAGAATTTGCTACAGAGAAAAAAGAAAGAAAAAAATTAACTGGGCATGGTGGTTCAAGCTTATAAGCCCAGTGTGGAGGAGGTAGAGAAAGACACATTGTTGGGGATCACTGTCCAGGTAACCTAACCTAATGACAAATTCCCAGATCACACAGAAAGACACGGCTTCAAAAAACAAGGTAGACAGCTTCTAATGAATGACACCTGAAGTTGACATCTGACCTCTACCTGCATGAACACATGAACAAGCGCACATATACTAACACACCAAAAACTTCTTAATTTAAAAAATGTTCTTTGAAACATAGAACTTTTGTCATGTGCAATATAAAAAACTAAATTATACACTCTTTTCAAACATCAAATTACATGGGATGGAGAGATGGCTCAGTAGTTAAGAACATTAGCTACTTTTGTAGAGGATTCATGTTCAGTTCCCAGAGCCCACATGGCTGCTCCCAACCATTTGTAACTCCAGTTCTAGGGGATATGGTGTTCTCTTTGAGCCTTTTTAGATATTGTATGACAAGTGGTGTACTTATACACATGAAGGCAAAACACCCATATTCATAAAAAGTAAATAAATAAATTTAAAGCATTAAATTGCACTGAATGTGCTTTGGTGTACTTACCTGAAGAAGGTATTTGAAAGTTAAATCACTAAAAACAATGCGAGTATATACATAAATTGGAACTGGATTCTGAGGATTCCTTACTTTAGATACCCTAATAGCTTCCTGTACACGGTTTCTGACATAGAGTGCTGCATTTGGGGATGACTCCAATTCACTCCTCAAATAGATGGATGGGTAAAGGGCTGTGCTTTCCTCCCATATCCAGTACAGATTGTCATTTCTTTTCTTTTCTATATCAGGGCAGTTTCCATTAAAATTATGCTCTTGAAATTTATTGTTATAACAATCAGGGAAAAGATAATATCCCCATAAGTGATTTGGCCGAAGTGATTTCCCTAATTTTAATGTCTCTTCCATGAAACTTCTTCCTGCCTTTTCAAATTGTTGTTCGGCTCTCTTGATGACTTCTGTGGAATTAAGTTGGATATTTTCTTGCTGGACCAACTCAATTGACTTATTCCTGTAAATATCCTTAGGCTTCCAGTTTCTTAACCAGGTGGGTCTCCAATCTTCCCAGTCAATGATAGCCAAGCCCACATTGTCTATTGGCATGTAATGCATGATGTCAGTCCTAGCTTTTTCCAAATGCTCTTGCAAAGCCCCCAGCTGAGGGATCCCTCCATGCACATTTATTTGTGACTCATCTATGTGAGGATAGAAGCCAAGTCGATCAGCATAAAATATTGTGACAGGTTGCCCTGTGGCACTTTTTCGGGGGCTTCCTACTAAAGAGAACGGACTCAGATCTAGTGGCACATTAAACTTTCCAGGACAAGATTCAGTTGGGGCATTCCAGGCCCAGAGGAAAGGCACATTTGGGATAAGTGGGGGTGCTCGAAAATCCATAGTCAAGCAACACGGAATCAGAAGAATGACTAAGACTGTTAGAGATACTCCATTGGATCCAACAAAGCACCCAAAAAAGAGGTGCTTACAACTCAACATTTCTGTTGCAGAGAGCAATTTAAGATGAAAACATTTATTTCTTCTTACACACTATGGTCTGTCCAATTTTTGGTGCAAAAGCAGAATGAGGCCACTTTGAGGGATAGAAGTATATAGAGTTTGTCTACACTGAAGTGTTACTCTTCTTGCTTCATGTTTCAAGAATGTTTTTCAGCAAGCTGCATCATCTACAACTGAGAAAAGTTAATACACAATTTACTATCGCTGGGATGGAAGCTTTACCAAGTTCTCAACATTGTGTGTAAGAGTTTAATTCAAGTTTTCCTTGTAATTAAATTACTAGTATAATGTCATATAAGGGTACAGTGAGAGTTATGTCATTCCTTCTAGGAATGTTGTCTTTACCTTAGCAAATTAGCCATTCATTCTCATTGCTAAAAACTTACTTTAAAAAGAATGCCATATTCAAAAGAAAAGGAAATCTTGCCATTGTTAGTCTTATGTTTTAAATATAATGATTTTTCCCCTTATGTTTAGAACAGGTAAATTTCCTAAAGAGTTTTAAACTCTTACAAACTTTCTTATTCAGTGTCCTAGTTTGTTTCTCCATTGCTGTGACAAAACACTCTGGCCACTACCAACTTGGGGAGGAAAGGGTTTATTAAGCTTACATCTCCCAGGTTGTAGTTCATCAGGGAGCCCAAGGTAGGAACTCAGGGCAGGAACCTGGAAGCAGGAGCTGGAGTACAGGCCCTGAAGGAACGCTGCTTACTGACTTGCTCCTCTGGCCCCTGCTCAGCCAGCTTTCTAATGCAACACAGGCCCACCTGCCCGGGGGTGGCACCACCCACAGTGCTGGGCCCTCCCACATCACTCATTAAGAAGATGCCTCTTAGACATGGCCACAGGCCAGTCCAATAGAGGCAATTCCCCAATTGAGGCTCCCTCAACCCAGGTGTGTCAAGTTGACACTAAAGCTATCCAGCACATTCAGAGTCAAGAAAACCTTCACCTAAAATAACATTAAGGGGAAAAATAATTCCTTTCAAATGTTGGGAGCCAATACTATTAGCAGAATAGCAGTGAGTGTAAAAAAGAAGTTGAAGACTTAGCCTTCTCCAGGTCTCAGGAAAGAAGGCAGGCCCAGCATATGTATTGAAATGGACATCCAATCTTGGACTCTGTAGAGTGATTTTTAAATAAAGAAAACACACTACTTTAGAGCAAAAAGAGCCTGGGATAAAAACTTTATTCTTGGAAATTTTCAAAACAGAATGTTCACTTCTATCCTTGAAAACTGACAGGATGAAATGTCTCTTCTTATGTGTAAATCTGGGGACAAAGTCTTGGGGCAGACTTGGGACAGACCTAGAAGTTAGCATCTATAGTGGTATCTTCCTGACATTTAAAGAACTTTGTAGAGACTCCTCTCCTTGAAAATTCTTGACCGATTTAATCCCAGATAAGAAGTAACCTTATGCTTCAATGACTATAGGTTGAGCATCCTTGCCTGGAATAAACAAAATTCAAAATACTCCAAATTCTAGGGGCTGGAGAGATGACTCAGCAGGTAACTGCCCTGGCTCCTCTTCTAGAGCACCTGACTGTCATTCTGAACACCCACATCTTGACTAACAACTGCCTTTAACTCCAGTTCCAGGGGATTCAATACCCTCTTCTGGCCTCTGTTTGCATTTCACACTCGTGGTGTATTTAGATACATGCAAGTAAAACACTCACAAAATAAAAGTAAACAAAATAATTTAAGAAAAAAATTTAAAATCCTCCAAAATCTAACACTTAACATCAACATGAAGCCACAAGTGGAATATTCCACACCATAAAACTTTGTCTCATGTATAAAATTATTTAAAATAGTTTATAAAATTACCTTTGTCTAGGCATATATGAAACCACAGAATTTCATGTTTCATTGGTTCTATTACTGCGATATCTTCCTTTGTTTTCAGATGTTCTAAAGATGCATACAGTCTGAAACCTGAAGCATATCTGGGTTCATATAAAGGGGTATGCCACCTGTATCCCTAAAACTGTTCCTGTCTATAGTATTTGCCTCTTAAGTGTCCTCTTGTTCATTCTGTAAATAATTTTCTTAAAGCATCCCAACTAGGTCCTAATATTCCCCAGGGCTCAACAATGGAACTTACTCTATTTTCTAAGTCCAGACACACCACCTCTCCTTAGTAGTTTCAGGACAATAAGTATACTGGTCTTAGTGGCTCACAGGGTATTATTAGTTTAATTTCATTCCTTTAAATTTCCTTTCTTTCTAAATAATTTTCATAAGAACAGGATACACTGAAAATCTTTAAAATTCTAGTTAAATCAAGCTCTTATTCCTTTATAGAAGAACTTTAGCAATGGAACTTTATCACATGCATATTAAATCTTTTGAATCAGGAATTGTTTGTTGAGAAATTCCAAAATTATTTGTGGAATCAAATTATATAATCATATGTACTTGCCTACCAACATAATATTTATCACTACCTATTCAAAAAAATCTATAAAACCAGAAACTATAAACAGTAAATTTAATTCACAATAATGCTCCAAAACCATATTTCAATCTAATGGAATTTATATAGATATTAGGACTGCTTACAAACCATTGAAGCAACAGGTAAAGATGTTTGCATAAAACATTTGTCAATTAAAATGAAAAATAAAACCCCAACTGTAAGACCAAGGAAAACAAAAACATGTAAGCACATGCCCAAGGAGTTAAAGAAACGCAGCTCTATGGATTCATTTTTGAGCCCCTTTTATATATTTTTGAGCTAATCTTTGATCTAGTTATCGTATACTTTCTCAAACAAGAAATGGAAATAAAACAAATTTTAAAGTAATAACTACTTTGTCAGAACAGATTTCAAGCAGTTGTTTCTCTTCACTGGGTAAAATAAAATGACCACAAAGCTCCCTGCTATGTTCATCAGTATGCTGATCAGGAATTTTTAATTATCTTCTGGAAGAGGAGTTGGTGATTGTTTTTTGTCTTTTTAATTTTATTGTATATATTTTAATGGGAAAAATGATGTTAGATGGTATGAAAAGTTGTTAAGAGGGGAGCTGGAACAGAAAAAAATGAGCCAAATTTCTTGCTTAATTTTTTACTCTTTTTATCACAGCAAATGGCTTATTTCCATGGTACATGCTTTCTTTAGAGAAACATAATTTAAAAAAATAGACAATAAAGACTAATAAGAAAGTTACATGGCCACACTCACATCACTCCAGAATCTCTCTATGGTTTGCTTCCTCCATGTAGCTATCAACTTAATGGAATTAGGAGCTGCATGCAGACAGTCTTTTTTTTTTTTTTTAATTGAGCTTTTGTAATTTCATACAACAGTTCTTAATCAAATTTAGACCCCTCTCCCATGCATGTCTCCCCCATTCCCCCACCAGACCTCACATATTCCACCATACATGTTAAGTAATATTCATTCAGGAATTTCTACCCAAATGTCCTTAAATGTAAATGTGTCCGCTGGAGTCTAGTCAGCCCATCTAGTGATCATGTGTAAGTCATGCTCTCCCTCATCCAGCAGCAATCAGTCTCCAATATTTCTCAGTCTAGTGCTGGCCTACCACCTATTTCTCTCCTCCTCATTTGGGCCCTTGTTTAACTGAGTTAACATGGGTCCTGTGCTCATTGTCACAAGTTCATATATGCAAGCTTTTAGTTGCCTGGAAGCCACTGCTTCTCTGTGTTCATGAACCAGCCCTGCTTCTTACAATCTTTATGCCCCCTCTTCCACAACAGTCCCTGAGATACGGTTGGATGAGGTTCCATGTAGGAGTCCTATCCTACACTCTGCAGTCTCTTAGTCTTTAAAATTTGGCCAGTTGTGGCCTTTTGTGTGCATCACACTCTGATGTATAATGAAGCTTTACTGGTGAGAGTTGAGGAATGCATTATCTTTTACCATTAAAATTATTAACACTTTTAAGATATATTGCAATAAATATAAAGGAAGGAATTTCAGAAGTATTATCAAGGTTGATAGATACCAGCTAATATCTTTGGTGAAAACGGAGCATGGGAGCTAGGGAGGGCAAAGAAAAGAGTACAAAAGTTTAAGTCATTCACAGGCCACTTCCTCATTCTCCATTGCTGTACGATGCCAAGAAACCAGAACATGATGAAGGCACAGTCACAGGACTGAGCAAACAGTCCCCAGCCTTAGGGAACCTTAGGATACTGAAACCTTAGGGAACCTTAGGATACTGATAATGTAAATTATTTCCACAAATATTGACTCATTTTTAAAATGAAAACAGAAATAAAAACCCATTTGAACAATAGACCCCAGGTTTTTTGTTTTTGTTCAGTAATGACATTAACTATAAAAAAAACTAAAGAGTTCCTCATTTCAATACAAAGTCTGACACCTACATCCAGCTAAAAAAATTACAGAAATGCAAGCTACAAGTTTTAGACAAACTTTTGAAAGATTAGATTAAAAGGCCCAGATCCATAGCTCAGTGGTTAAGAGCATTGCTATGTGCAAAATATGTATCCTTATATTACAGAAATATATTTGAGTCACCACTCATCAAAGAAGCTTCTTTTGCACCAGACAGAGATGATCACAGAGTACCACAATTGGTCACACATAGACATTGTCTGTGAATTTGCCAAGTCTAAGTGGCACATCTGCAATGCAACCTCTACAACTAAGACTCACAGAACATAGAATAAGGGTCAAGCAGACACTAAACAATATCTCAGTTCTCATTAATGAAGCTCCCTCATGCAGCAGAGGGTCAGGAACACAAAAGGTCACAAACAGCCAAGTGTCGAGACCAAAGGTCTGCAGAATGCTAGTCCTTGGACAGGATTCCTGTACTAAACTTCATCCACCCAGGGCTCAGGGACCATCGCAGAAGAGGGGGCAGAAAGATTGTAAGAGGCAGGGAGGAAGTGCATGACCGTATGGAAATAGAGTCCTACAAGCTCCTGGGACCCTGCTCATATGAGCCTACAGCAATTGTGTCAGCATGCAGAAGAC